TGGGCGGGGAGTAACTGATTTGAGAGGGGGGTGGAGGGAGGTGGTGACAGGGAGGCAGTAAGCTCGAGCCCCAGTCATGACTCCCTCTTGCTCCCCAGTATTACACTGGAAAGGCACTGGCAGTGAGAAAACAGCACTGGGCTCTGGACTTTCAGTGTTTGTGGTCAAAGAAGATCCAGCCCAATGCCACGGACCATGTCAAGCCTGCAAAGGCTTCATACCTCTTTGATCTGCAGGCCAGCAGCCAGACCCCAAAACCAAAGCAGTGGGGATGGTGCTGACCCCAGCTGGGGGCTGTGGCAGGTGGTGTGTCATGCCATGAGGGGTCCTACCCTGTGGGATCTCAGTGATCCCTCAGCTCTCTGGGTCAGCTGGGTCTGAGCTTTTCCACAGAATAAGTTCTGGCCCTCTGGAACAGGGACATGTCTTTCTCCATCCTAGATACCCATATCCTTCCTGCCTTGCCAATATCCTCATCCTGGGCTTTGGCAGGCCCAAGCAACAGCAAGGTCCCCCGTGTGAAGTCCATCATTTGCTCCAGCCCCTTGGTGACCTAGCCACCTTGGCACACTGACCGGATTCTCTCAGACTGTGTGAGCTTCACAGGGGACTTCTGCTGAGGCACCATAGCAGCATCAAACCCATTTCCAGGGGTGCAGCACCCTGTGTTGCTAGTGGCAATGTCTGTCATCCAGCTGTGCTGGCCAGACCATGCCTGGGATGGGGACAGGGCACATGCGAGAGTCAAGGTTATTGTGACAGCTTCCTGCTAGTGGCACCGTCGGAAGCCATCGGGGAATGAGTACATCCGAAAGGTCTCTGGAGGCTGGGGAATCCACTTGTCCAGCATTTTACTGGGTTGGCCCTTTAAGAATGCCTTCTCCTCTCCCCTGGAGCCGGCAGTAGGTGGGACCCGTGTGGGGTTCTGCACCAATCGTGAGGTTCCTTGCTCCGTCTCTCCCTGACCGGCAGCAGGGTGGTCCCGCCCCGTGGCTCTTGGAATGGGCCGGAGGGGGGGGGTGTGTGCTGCTGCACGGGGAGGGGGAAGTCCCTGGATGGCAGCACCTCCATCGTCTCTTCCTCACCCAGAAGGCTGGTGTCCCTGTCACTGTCCAACATGCCAGACCCCTAGCCTCTCTCGCCCATTCCCTCAGGTCCCCTTGGTGTCCGGGCGGTGGGGACGGGCTGTCCCCAGTCCTCGGCAGGAGCTGGCCCCCCTGCCTGCCACACTACTGTGGACCCCAGCTCCACAGGGTCTGCGTGCACCCAAGGTTGGTCAGAGTGGCCTTGAGTGCACCAAGGACAGGGTTCCAGGGCATACCTGCGTTAGGTTTCTGCAGGGATATAAACCAAGCTAGCACCCTGCAGCTTGCCACCATCCTCTGGGACAGGGAGTGGGAGAAATGACTGCTCTGCTCCCCCCTGGGCGTGCTGAGACCCCTGCTTTTGCCCTCTGGGAGATCATTCAACTGCAAAGTTGTGGCTACTGCACAATTTCACTGTGTGTGGTGGTGGGAGCCAGGTGGGAGGCTCAGGCCTCCTTCCCAGCCTGATGTCCTGACCTGATCTTGTGATATGGTGGTGTCTATTGGGCTTCTTGGATGGCTCTGTGCATTTGCAGTGACTCAGGTACTGTGAAGGTTGACTCCTTCCTTGTCTAAGGGTGGGGAAGGGGTATCCAATCGTGTATGTGTGGGTAGTAATTGCATTCCAGCTTTGAATGGCTCACCCCTTTCTACCTTCCCACCTTCTGCCTCTGACACCCATGGGGGGCTGGCAGGGGTGGGCATCCCTGTTTCAGTGCAAGCTATCCTGGCTGGTGGTGGTACTGGTGGCAGTGATGCAGAAGCAATCCTAGGGTCCAGGCAGCAGCCAAAGCATTAGCTGGGGGGGGGGGGAAAAGGGATGGAAGAGCCCCAAGAGCCCCTGGCACCTCAGGGCTCTAACAAGCACCTTTTCATCAGGCATGAAAAGTCCTTTGGCCTGAGTTCATGACAGCTGCCCTTTGTCTGTGGGCGCGATGTGAAGCCACCATTGTGGAAGGGGGAGCACACAGGGAGGGCTTGTACCTAGCTTCCAGGCTGCCAGGACGTGCAGTTTCCCTGTGAACGGGAAGCGAGCGGTGGGAGCAAGTGACTCGAGCTGGCA